TTTCTTCCTAATACTAATTTAACCCTGTCCTCTGTCATTTTAAAGCCATTAATTCCCTCTTGTCCTGTCACTCCAGGCCCTTATCCAAAGTCCTTCTCCAGCTCTCTTGGAACCCCTTTAGGCTCGAGAAGGGGCTCTAAAGTCTCCCTAGAGCCTTCTCTTCTCCAGGTGAACACCCCCAGCTCTCCCAGCCTGGCTCCAGAGCAGAGGGGCTCCAGCCCTTGGAGCATCTCTATGGCCTCCTCTGGGCTCGCTCCAACAACTCCACATCCTTCTGATGCTGGGTCCCAGAGCTGGAGGCAGCTCTAAAGGTGGGGTCTCACCTGAACAGGGCAGAGAGGCAGAATCCCTCCCTCCCCGGCTGTCGATGCTGTGGGATCAGCCCAGGGCATGGGGGGTTCCGGGCTGCCAGGGCACATGGCCAGGGCATGTCCAGCCTCTCACCCACTGGCACTCCCATGTCTTTCTCTCCAGGGCTGCTTTCAATCCATTTTCCTCCCAACCTGTGTTTGTGCTTGGGATTGCCCTGACCCAGATGCAGCACCTTGTGCTTGGCCTTATTGAACTTCATGAAGTTGGCACAGCCCCACCTCTCCAGCCTTTCCAGGTCCCTCTGGATGCCCCATCCCTTCCCTTGAGTATGTGACTGCACCACCCAGCTCGGTGTCATTGGCAAACTGGCCAAAGGTCCATCAATCCCACTGTCCCTGTCGCAGACACAGATCTCAAACAGCTCCAGTCCCAATCCTGACCCTGAGGACACCACTCCTCACTGGGCTCCACTTGGACATTGAGCCATTGACCACAACTCTTTGCATATGACCATCTAGACAATTCCCTATTCACTGAGGTGTTCATCCATTAAATCCTTGTCTCCTAACAGGATTTATTAGTTAACTGTAGTGGTGTTTAAAGATTTGGAACAGCTGGTACAGAGTCATTACTATGAGCATCTTTAAAAATAGAATTGGCAGTATTTACAGAAACACTAATGATAGGAAAATATGTGAAATTTCCCCCTTATGTAATGTTTATTGAAAGAATTATGTGTTCTGTTAGAGGAACTTTTAAAAATAAACATAGGCTTTTCTCTGTAGGTTTTCTTCTCGATGAAGAAGGCATATGAATTTTAAGAATCACAGTAATATTCCTTTCATCATCTTAAATACATTGCAATTACAGCCATTATATTCAGGAAAGAGCTTTTTAAGGAATTTAATATCGTGGTATCTTGCCCCCCATGTTTCTATGCCCAAATTAGGAGCGTCTTACAATATTTGCCTCCTTTGCAGTTTTGTGATAATTGGTGGTGATTTTGTTTAGAAACCGCTTCATCAGCTGCCTGAGACCAGATAACCATGAAGAATGTAATGCTGCTTTGGGCAGTTTTATTTCTGTTTCCACTAGTTTTGTACAGGATAACTTCGCTGGTGCCAGGGAACCTGATCCTCATTTACAGCGATGAAAGAAGAAAATTGTCACCATTCTGTACAACCAGTAACGCGGCAGAACGGGAACCATAATAGCTCCCAGCAGAGTAGAGCATAATGAGGTAAACTGCAAAATCCGTGTGCTTAAATGAAGTGTGAGATTAACAGCAAAAGTGTAAATATTATCTTCAGTTTCCCTCATACTAATTTTGACAGGATATACAATACACAGCTCACGATGCTTGGGAATGAGAAAGATCGGTCATTCCTCAAAGGGGACTCATTCACTTGCAGAACTGAGGCATTTGAGAAAGTTGGAGGAAATAATTCCTGGTACAAATCCTTTGATTAAAATAACAATCCAGGAATTTTATGAAGAATTTTTTTGGCCTGTCCTCGATTAGAACAGGTATTGTCTCTGCCAGGTAAATGGGTGCAGGTTGGCTTTGCCTGTTTCATGTCAGTGGATTTTGATGATGGTATTGACTGGATGAAAACATGATGAGTTTGGTCCAGCATATGCAATTCCTTAAGGACAGAGGGGATTTCATGGCTGGGGAACTGCTTTCCCTAGAAAAAACCAGAACCCTTTCATGGCCTTTTTTTCTTTTATAATTGAAGCAAACCATCCAGTCTGCTGTATGTTCACAGTTTTCAGGACAGACAGAAATGCACAGAGTATCCCCAAGACTTCCACTGGTAAAATGCCTGATTGTCTCTTCATAAAATATAAAACATAAAAAGAAGACTAGAAAACAAAGAAGAAAAAATGAACAAAGAAGAGTAATGAATTCTTAAAGTTTTCAAGGACAGCCTGTTCCCAATGACCCCTTTGGCCCCCCAGCTCACATGTTTGCCCCTTAGAGGGGCAGTCAGAGCTACAGCCAAAGATGTTTGAGGAATAAATTACCGTGAAAGTCAGCTTTTATTTAAACTCCCTCATTTCAAACACAAAGTGGCTCTCTGTTTCCCTGGAGACCAGGATATGTAAGAAGGCAGAATTTTCTCTCCATTTCCCTTTCCTACACTGGACCCCTGTGGAGCAGATTCTGGACTTTCTTTCTTTTCCTCCTGTAAGACCAACATTAATTACTGACTGGGCATTTTTCTCAGGTGACTGCAGTTGTGTCACTGAGGTGGGTGACCTGTGCTGAGACTCCTAACATGCAGGTGTTTGCTGAGGGGATCGGTGTATCTCACTGAATGTTACTCACTGGGTTTAATAGTGGTGTCAGACACAAGTGCTCACTGAACAGAAAGGAAGCCCCTTTTCAAGTTCTAGAAGTAAAATTCTGCTACAGAAATAACACAGTACTAGGAAAAAAAAAAAGAAACCAACTTCCATGGTCTTTCATTTGTCTCCTGTCCAACTCCTCTTTGGGAAGGTAAAATCATTTATTACACTGCTCATGAATCAAAAATTGAACAAACCCTGTGCTGCACCTTCTGCCACTTTACAGGAAAAAGAATCAGGAGATGGGGTGGAATGAAACCATCCTCTGGCATGAAGACAATCACATCTTTATATCCCAAACTTTTTCCTACACTATATCTTGAAAATTTACTGGGAAAAGACTCTGATTCTGTGCTCTGGATTTGATTGTCCAAATATTACTAGATAATGAGAGAAATGACAACTGACTGAAGATGTTTAATGGCATCTTTCATACTTTTCCTACAGACCATAAAGACAGGAGAAAGGAAGGAGGAAAGCTGATACCTCTGAGATTCAGTGTATTTAAACACAAACCTATCCCTAAACAAAGCCAAAATTACTGCCTTCTATAAAAGTGTTCTATCTTCTTATTTGAGAGCAAATTCTTTCTGATTTCTCAAAGAAATATTCTTTGAGAACTATTCTTTGCCTTTGGAAAACTGTTCTTAAATGACACCCTTCCATTGTAATCCTTTTACAACTTCCAGGCTCTTTGAAATAATGAGTGCCTCCTCCTGTGAGGAGCACAATAACTGATGTATCCATTTCAAAACATGCTGTGAAAGAAAACACCATAAGTTTTAAATGAAAACTTAGGAAACAGCATCTCAGGAACCGTGAAGGTACTGCTGGTATAACAGCTGTGATCTGCTGGCTCCAGGGCTGTCCCTTGCCGTGACACTGCTGGCACTGTGAGTTATTTCTGAGAGATGCATTTCATCAGTCATTCCACAAGACATTTCAGTTCAACAGGCCATGAAAACCAGTGTCACGAGTGTGTTCCAGCTCAGCATTTTCATGAGGTTTAATAAGACGAAGTGCTGGTGCTGTACCTGGGTCAGGGCAACCCCTGGTGTTAATTCGGGCTGGAGATGAGCAGATGGAGCAGCCCTGGGGGAAGGACTTGGGAGTGCTGGTGGGTGAGAGGCTCGACATGGCCCAGCCCAGAAACCCCCCCGAGTGCTGGGCTGATCCGACGGTGTGGGCAGGGGGGATTCTGCCATCTCAGCTGAGATCCCACCTGCAGAGCTGCCTCCAGCTCTGGGGTCCCAGCACAGGAAGGATATGGACCTGCTGGAGCGAGTCCAGAGGAGGCCACGGAGGTGATCAAAGGGCTGGAGCAGCTCTGCTGTGAGGAAAGGCTGAGTTGGAATTGTACAGCCTGGAGAAGAGAAGGTTTTGCAGCGACCTAATTGCGGCCTTCCAGTGCCTGAAGGAGACGACAAGAAGAATGGAGAGAGACTATTCAAAAGGACCTGGAGTGCCAGAACAAGGTGGAATGGCTTCTAGTGGCTACCGCTGTCAGCAGTGAGCACTAGTGACCAATACAAGATGTGCGATGTGCGCGGTCACAGATACCGCCGCGAAAGGCCGGCTGTAACACAGCCGGGTGGCCCGTCCTGCCGAGGCAACCTTTATTTACAAGATTAAAAACTACGGGGCTGGGAGATGCTGCAGTGAGTGCGCCCGGAGGGAGAGGAGTGGGAGGCGGGCCGGAGCACGGCCGGGGGTACCGACCGGGCGGGTTCAGCTCGAGAGGCGGGACTCGTCCCATCGGAAAAAGGCCCGTGGCTCGTGGATGCAGGAGGAGCCCCAGAGTCCCGCCCCGGTCCGTCTCCGCCCGGCTCCTTCTCCCGGCCTGCTCCCGCCCCCCGGTTCCGGCTCCACCCCACGCCGCATCCCTCCGGCCCGCCCTGCCCTCGTCCGCTGCCCCGCCAGCATCCCCGGCCCGTTCCCACGCATCACGTTGGCCGCTCGGCCCGCTCCGCTCCGCTCAACTCCATTCCCAGCGCCCGATCACTGGGCCCGCTCTGCTCCCGTCCGCTGTCCCTCCCCGCCTGCTTTGCCCCGCGGATGCCGCATCCCACGTCGACCCTCGATCCCCTCCGCGCTCGCGCTCGCCGCAATCCGCGCTCCCCGCCCGCACATCCCCCTGCTGTCCCCGTCCCGCCCCCTTCCGCGTGCTCCCACGCCCTCCCGCGCGCTGTGGCCTGCCTCGGCCGGGGCGGGGGCGGCGGGCGATGCCATGCGGGCGGCGGGCGCCGGGGCGCGGGGCGGTGAGGGCGGCGCGGGCGCCCGCGGGAGCGCCGGGCCCGGCGCGGAGCGGCCGCAGGGCATGCCAGCCGCCTGCCCCGATGTTTCACTGGAGCAAGTGGAAGAAGAGGATGGGAGCGAGCGCATCCTCCTCCAAGAGACCCGTCTTCGACGAGAGGGAGGACGGTGAGTGCGGGCCGGGATGCCAGCCCTGCTCCGGGATGCTCTGCCCTGCCCAGCCCCGGGGTGCCGAGACCCCCCGCCCGGCACGGGGTTCCTGCAGCACCGCTGCTGGCGGGGGAGCGGTGCCCGGGTGCGGGTGTCGGGCCGGGCGGTGCCTCCCAGTGGGGTGCAGGGACTCTGCCCACGGGCGCCCCACGGACACGGGGCAGTTGTCGTTAAAACCCGGGGAGACTGAGAAGGGGGCGGCGAGGGGACAGTTCAGCAGTGAAGTTTCGCTCTGTGCGCGGACAGCCCCGGTTTTAACGAGAAAGGACCAAGTGCCGCCGGCCATCAACGCCCAAACACTGCTGTCAGCGCAGAGGGGCTGCTTTGGGGTTTTTCCCAACATACAAATTGTGGGGTTTTTTTGTAGAAATACACCACGAAATGCCACCGTTGCATTAGACTTCTCAAGCGCAGGGTGAAATTGCAGAGGAGCAAAGGAAGGAAACTTTGACTGCAGGTGAAGGAAGAGTTCGGAGAGCCGTCAGCCCAGCAGATGGGTGCTGTATGGCCGGGGCAGCCCAACGCTGCATTGGCCCTGGGGCACGAACAGGCAAAAATCCCCATGTGCATGGGGTACTGGAACTGTGCTCTGGATAAATCTGGAGTTAGATGTGTTCATTTGAGTCTCTTAGCCCAGTGATGGACAGGTCAGGGTCTGCTGTCGTCCCCTCGCTGAGGGGACCAGACCTGGCTGTGCTGCTCTGGCAGCTGACAGGGGTTAAATCAGGCAAACTTCTCCCGGTGCAGGAGCTGGTTGGTTTCCCCAACATGTTTTTATTAGCAGTTCACAGCGAGCGAGCTGAGTAAAAATGCTTAAATTGGAGGCTTCGCTGCAATTTCATTCTGAAAGCAAAATTTCTTTCTGAGAGGCATTTTATTGTGCCCTGAGCCTGTATGCAACCAGCCAGGGAGCCTGAGCTCTGCAGGTGAATGACCACTGACAGGAGCCTGGGAACACCTCATTCATCAGGTGCTTTCAAGCAGTGCTTTTGTAATATGTCCCAATTATTAGGACATTACTTTCTTGATATCTCCTGCTTTTCCATCATTCCTTGTTGATGTGTGCTCGGAGTGTTGTTCTGGTGAACTCATATTTACTGGCACGGCATGGTTGCTATGGTGATCTCTGAAGACATCCCAATAACTTCCTTAGATAAAGAAGCCAGTTAATACTTGCAGTTTGTATGTGACATAACGTGGAAGAGTTACTAGTGATGACAATTTAATGTGAAATCAATTAAAAAATAAAAAGGAAAAAGACTGGTTGGTATGTGAAATGTTGCCCATAGGTGGTTCCTGGTGATGGATCTCCTCACAAGGATGAGCCCAACTGCCGAAATCCATCGGATGATCCCTGGGAATTGTGGCAGGGTGTATGTAAATAGAAGGTTAAGGTTTATTCTACTGAGTACTAGCACAAAACCCAGTATTTTCCCTCAGATAAATCCAACTCTAAACCCTTACAGTTCTCTTCCCTGACTTCCTGGGGACTTACTTCACTGCCTCCTGTCACACCGGTGTGGCTGGGCTGGCAGGCAGAGGTTTCCTGGGGCTCTGCAGTAACGTGTTTGCTCTGTCTCAGTGTAAAACACCTGGCCGTGGAGGGTTATCTGCTGTCAACCTCACTGGTAGAAATTGCCCTTCCTCCCCAGCCTGCATCTGTCCAACCCCAGCAGCCTGCTGTTGGATCTCACCTGGATAAACAGGGGAGTACCTTTGTCACACCCCCCTCTTGCTGTCAGGGCTGTGGCTGCCTGGTGTCCTCACTGATGGGACACATGGATTGAGCTCTCCGAGTCCGTTACTCCAAGCATAAACTTCATATTCCTGAGTCTGTCCTATGGATCTTCTCTAACCCTCTCTATTTTTTTCAGGATCTCTTTTGTTAGTGCTGGTATAGGGCTTATTTTCCAGCAGGGCTGGGTGCCAGACTGGCCGATGCTGGTGCAGCCCACGTGCAGGGCTGGCTCCTCGCCCACCTAGGGCCAGGGCAGTGGGGAGCTGTGCTGGGGGAGTCATGCCCAAGGAACAGCTGTGCTGCTCCCTCCTTGTTTCCCTTCCTGGGTGCTGTGGTGTCCCCAGCCCCTAAGTTTTCCCCCAGTTCAGGTAACATCCCTTGGCTGTGAAGGTGGGTGGTGACCAGGTGTGCCTGGTCCTGTGTGTTGGGGACAGTAGCATCTGACTCCCTTCGGGTGCCCTGCCTGGCTGCAGCGTGCACAGCGTGTACACCCTGCTGCTCCATGTTTGCACATACAGCCCTGGAAATATTTCTGGGCCTTTCAAGTGGGGATTCTACTAATAGAAAAGCTGACTGTGCCTGCATGTTTGTGTTTGCTTCCAAGGAACACTGGTATGAGGTAGATGGGCTTCCCTGGCTGTGGGAGCTGTGGCTCCAGCTGGTTCCAGTCTCATAGGAAATCTGGCAAGTTGCATGTACATCAGCTGGGCTTGAACTCCAGCCTGTCCAGCTGGAGATGCTGCCTAGTGATACCTCAGCTCGTTTTTAGCAAGGTGTGTTGAATCCTGTTCCTGAACAGAGAAAATTAATGAATGGGGAGGGGAAGGGAGGAAAAACGAAGTAAGGGAAAATGTGGGAAGAAGAGGACAAGGCAAAAGAACAGAAGGACTTCAGGGTTGAGCCCTTGGAGTTACAGTGCACTGGACTGTGGTGGGTTCAGTAAGCTCAAGTGAGTCATAGTGGGCTTATGGGTTCAGCGTTATCACCATGTGCTGTTTTCCATCAGGAAAAACTGGCCTTTGTCTGTAGAGGCTGTTCCAGGTTTGTTATTTATACCCGTAAGAATCTTTTAAAAATTCCTCACCCCATGAGTGGATTTGTTCTCCAGCCTCACAGAAGGCCCAGGCTGGGTGGTCACTCCCTGTCTGCCAGATGTGAGACATCTCTCTGTGCAGGGCACTGGGGTGTCTCACAGAATCCCAGAAGCACTGAGGTTGGAAAAGCTCTCCCAGACCATGGAGTCCACCCCGTGCTCCATCCCCACCTTGTCACCCAGCCCAGAGCACTGAGTGCCATGTCCAGTTGTTCCTTGGACACCTCCACAAATGGAGACTCCACTATTTCCCTGGGCAGCCCCTTCCAATGCCTGACCACCCTTTCTAGCAAGAAATTCTTCCTGTTGTCCAACCTGAACCTCCCCTGGCACAATTTGAGGCTCTTTCCTCTTGTCCTGTCCCTTATTCCCTGGAAGAAGAGCCTGACCCCCACCTGGCTCCACCCTCCTGTCAGGGAGTTGCAGAAAGCAAGAAATCACAGCACAGCAGTTGTGAGGCTTGTTTGTCATGTGGACAGGAATTATTTTCTGTTGTCATTCTGGGAAACAGCCAAGCAAGTTTTATTGACATGCCTCCCTATTTTTAAATTTTTTTTTAATTATTTTTTATACTAAGTGAAGACAACCTGTCATTTTGCAGCCAATGGGAATGTTTCAACCCAGATATTTAAAAAATGTTTAGCAGAGTTGCTGGACTTGGGCAGCTGGGCTGAGCAGGAGGAAATACAGGGCACACTTAGTGCTATTAGCATTGCCCACAGTTGTGTTGTGTGAGAGAGGGGAAAACCACAGCATGATGTATCTCTCCATGCAATTATGTCTGAAGAGGAATTTCAATAGTGCATTTTGGTTATGGTTTCTCCTGAATCAAAGTGGCTTACTAAAAAAACTGTGTGTAAATATACACGAAAATCTGTGAAGCCATCTGCTGCTTCCTGCTGAGCTGTGCCTCCCCTCGCTGACATGAGGCGAGTGGTCTGAGGGTTCCTGCTCATGTCCTGAGGCTGAATTAGTTTTCCAGCTGATGTACAAGGTTTTGATGCAGCAGCCCAGTGAATTTCATCATGATTAATATTTCACCTCAGTCACTTTTTTCCCATCCCTTGCTTGACTCTCTCTGCCAGAGTGCAGATGGTTTTTCCTAAGGGGGTCAGGTGCAGACTCGTGGGTTTATCCTACTTGCATCAAAATCATCTTTTAAACACAAGTTCCCAGTTTTACAGCCCATGGGTGCAGCTCTCCTAGTTAAGCAACCTGATTCTGAGAAGTGCGTGCTCAGGGTTAGTCTGGGTTGGGAGAAGTGCCTGTGATGTGTCCCCTCTCAGGGAACAAGCGCTCTTTGGAATTCTTTGGCTCAGGTAATACTGGGATGAGGCAGCAGGCTGGGGTTTGGGGCTGAAACCCCAACTGCAGGGGCAGCTGGCAGTGTTTGGGGGGTTGTGCAGGGTGAGGAGTGCTGTGGTCAGTCTGCCCATGGCTGCATGTGTTGGTTGATGTGGGTCTAAAAGGTTTCAAGGAGTTGCTCTGTGAATGTCTGCTGGAGCTTGCAAGCGGAGAAACTGGTCTCTAAAATGTAGTTCTGTGGAAAACCAGGAAACTCTTACACAGCTCATCACTGCTGCTCTGGCTGTGCTGTTTGTTGAAGGGTCAAGCTGCAGGGACATGCTGGGTCCGGGGGGGCTCTGAAGTCCCTCTCTGCCTCCCCACCAGCCTCCTCATCCTGGCAGGGATCGACGCGGGAGGCCGGAGAGCCTCGGCAGCCACGCATGGCACCCGTCCCCATGGAAACGGGCGAGAAGCTGCAGAACCTGGGGGAATGTGCTTAAAATAATCCCCATTTTCATGTCAAGCCATGTGTTGGCAGCGGTGGGGTCACACACCCGGGAGCAGGAGCGGGCATCCCTCCTGCCTCGCCCTGGGAAGCGGGAATGGGAGCAGGAGTGGGAGCGCTGCGTTTGTGGAGCTGTTGGTGTACAGAGAATAAACTGTGGGTACAGAGCCCACCTGTCTCTGGCTCCCACCTGGCATCTACAGCCACCTCCTCTGAGCCTGCTGGCCAGGGGCTGTTGGGTGCTGGGTGCCTTTGGCTGCAGCTTTGGGTAGGTTCTTAGACCCACCTGTCCTTATCATTTAAATCCCTGGGAATTCAGGGATTCAGTTGTCACA